ACTTTTTAAAACCATTTCAATTTGGATATTCATGATTACTCAAGAAGCACACAGTACTAAATTAACAATTCCACACAGTAATGTGAGAGAGTTATCCTTGTCCCAGTGACTTGCACTAAACCTTCTGCCTACACATTAATGAAGATTTCAGAATATTTAATGCATTTTGAGGTTATTCCCTATTTAGTCATTTTATAGTATCACCCCTAGACAGTAGCCATGCTTGACTCTTCATAACTTTCAGTGTCAAGGCTCATTATTATCAGCCTTTTCTCTAATTACAGTTGTCTTCTGAATTCTTACCTTAAGTCATTTTGAATTAAGCTGAAGCAATGGTTCAACCACTTATATTCAATAAGCAGCAAATCTGACAGCATACAATCCCTACACCAATTCATGTGTTTGTATAATAAATATTTCTGAGTTCTATTCATTCAAATGAAGCAAGATATCCTTGTTCTAGTTTTTATTCCCTTTCTCCATTCTCTTTAGTACCCAATTTCAATAATCAAACTAAAATTACCTCTCTGCAAACTGAGGGCACCTCCCCCTCATTACTTAAATGGCATTCTACTGTCCTATGACCATGTAACCTTAAAAGACATCAAAGTGCTGGATCATGTCCAGAGAAGGGCAACAAAGGGTCTAGAGAACAAGTCCAATGAGAAGCAGCTGAGGGAAGTAGGCTTGTTTAGTCTGGAGAAAAGGAGGCTCAGGAAGCCCTTACTGATATGACTACCTGAAAGGAGGTTGTAGTAAGGTGAATGTCGGTATCCTCTCCCAAACAACAAGTAATAGGACAAAAGTAAATGGCCTTAAGGTGCGCCAGGGGAAGTTTAGATTGGATATTAGAAAATATTTCTTCACTGAAAAGATTACCAAGCATTGGACCAAGCTGCCCAGGGAAGTGGTGGAGTCACAAACCCTGGAGGTAAGGGCTGCCTTTAAAAGACATGAAGAAGCGGTGCTTGGGGATATGGTTTAGGGGCAGACTTGGCAGGGCTAGGTTAAAGGTTGAACTTGATGATCTTAAAGGTCTTTTCCAACATAAATTATTTTATCACTCTATATAAAGGACTGAGGTTGCTCCCTCTGCAAGCACATGGGCAAGTAAACCACAACAACTGAAAAAAGCTCACCTTGAAAAGAGGGCCCTTTCCTCTAGGACATGCAGCACCTCCCCTGAACTGAATAGGCATTACAGGCAATTCCTCACAGCACAGGCAAGAAGCATAAAAGGGACACTTTTACAATAACACAAGAAAATATATGTGTAGCCTTTAAGTACTGCTGGGTTCACTGCCTGCTGACCCTAAACTGCACTCGGGGCAAATGAAGTTGTTCTGGATTTACTATTCTGGGAGGAGTAGAGGAAAGGAAAGCCAATAAGGGCTGTATGTGCTATATATGTTCTTCTGTAAAAATTACTCAAAAGATGTTAGAAACTTCTGCCTAGGCATGAAATATGTTGTATTTTAGGGCTTGAGCACACAGATTAACTAACCAAATCCACTACTACACAGAGTAGATACATGGAGTTACAACTGGGCTAAGCAGTGCTAAATAAGTTAAATTTCCAGATGTTGCTTAATAAGAAACAGCACAATGACTACTTATCTCAGACTCTGAATAAGCTAAGTACATTTACAGTGATGGTTTGAATGCAAGCACAACATTAAAATACTATTAAGAACCACAGGCATATAAACATAATATTAACCCAGATTACCCCTAAATCTCAACCCAGTGATTTTCAGATGAAGAGGTAAAATAGAAAAGAAAAAGAGTCAATAATCAAACTTGTATACTCTTAAGTTACACAGTACATGCAACTGTTGCTTCCTTTGCTCTTTCTCAAATGCTCCAGGATGCTGGGAGCCACATGAAGACAGTTGGTATCACTTGTAGTAATCAGGGTAAATTACAAAGCAGACACAGCTGGATCTTTGGGAACTTTTTCTAAAGAAATTATGGGGGAGAAGGAGAATTGGGAAGACACACATCTTCCACACTTCGTATACAAACTAATGTTAGTGTAACACTAATACTGCACTACTGAAAATGCAAATAGGGTTCCCTCTTCAGACTGGCTGCCTTTCATTGTAATTACCATCTTAATTAAATTGTAATAGATTCTTAAGTAGATTTTTCACTAGCATGCTTCATTTTCACCTCTGTGCATGAACACTGCTCTCATGATTTTATAGTGTTCAGTTTTACAAAACTGCACTAATTTTGCAGTTATTTCCATGAGCACCTATGAAAACTATCTACAAGTAAAACAGTTTCAGTAGAAAAATAAACTTAAGTCTCATAGAATCAACATGGATACATTTAAAACTTAATTCAGCTAAAACACAAGTGATTTATAATTCTCACTAGGATCCAAAACACATACATTAGGTTTCTTTTGCTAAGGAGTGAAGTATGATGTACTTGCAGAAGAAACAAAGCCATCAGCCACTACATTTACAGTCAGAACTACCAAGACAACCAAATTGCAAGGAAGTAAAAAGGTAGTTATTTAACCAAATGTGATTTCTTTGCTTTAAATACTTTAAAGTATCTTGCATGTGGTATCTCATTGAAAAATACTGTAAAACACACCATGGTGATAAAACCACCTCAGAAGTCAGCACGAATGAGCATACCCAATACAGAGTTCTACAGAGAATTAGCACCAGGAAAATACCCTCTCTATCACCCTTGCACAGAGGCATTCAAGTGACTGCGATGAGGCAGACCTGGGAACTGATCCAGTCTGAACTGAAATAAAAGTTTTAGCCACCATCAGCTTATTGAACCAACTGGCCACATGAATGCAAGAACAGGCAGCTGAGAAGTAGCAATGCCAACCCAGGGTTGGGATTGGGTGTTCCCAGGGTGAGAGTGAGTAAATCAGCATTTCAAGTGAGGCATTTTGAAATTTGACTTTCACCAGAATCTGGATGATGTGTACGCAAGAACAAACCAGATTACTCACCTCACTTATATGTCATAGAGTCATTTAAGCCATATACTGCATGAAAGGTATGGAAACATACACAAAGCAGCTCAGCTGTACTGCTTTGAACAGGAAACTAAAACTAGTAACCAGCACTTGGTCATTTCCTGCTTTAGAACTGAAAAAATCCACATTAACATACGGCATTGAGCTGTAAGCTCTGCTCAGGAGTCATACAATAACTAACATCAACTCACAGACACTGTACCCAAGACCACTTGGCTTAAGCGTCATCTGTTCGCAACCACACTTTGGATTCCTTTGACTATATATTAGAATCACCCTACTAACTGAGAAAACAGGTCTAATTTGTTTCTCAAATCCAGGTTGCAGCTACACATAGTTCCTGCAAGACTACCCTTGCATAATAACTGATTTTGAGTTAGCCTACCTCAAGGTCTGATTAGTAGCAATGGGAATGCATTCCTGTTCCACTTTTTCTAAGCACAAGAAGCTGTTCTTTTATGGAGAACACTTTTTCCACCCCCTGGACAATTCTATTTACACTGTAGCTCCAACCACGCTGGAGCAATCGGCAGCCTGCAGCCCTTCCTTCCTACCCTTGTCTCTTCCCAGACTTTTCCTCTCAGGGTCAGGAAACCACCTGGTGGTGGATTCTTTCCTCTTCCTGGCACAGCCCTGATGTTTTCGATGTTCTTGAAAAACAACACACACTGCAAAAGCCAAGAAAATCTTATGTTAGCTTTGGTCTTGTCGTACTTTTAAAAAATGAGCTCCAAATTACTTTCCAGAACTTAAGAGAATTTTTGCCCTTTATCATCACGTTCAGGGCAAAAATGCCACATCTCCTATAGCATGAATGAAAAGTGGGTTTTTTCCTCCAAAAATCCTTAGGAGCCACACACAAAGCTACAGAGCATTAGAAGATAAATCAAGATGACAGCAGCTAAAAGCTATTTTGCTCTCTCCTCTCAATTCATCTGAGAGACAGTGAGTTTACATGCAACCTAAAAGGCTTTGGCTGAGCACACATGCAATCCTTCACTTCACTGAAATTGCCATGTCCTGACTGAGGTGCAATTCTTGGACAAACCTCCCCAGAAAAATCATTTAACTGGAGATAGAGAAGGAAGCACCAGAAACAAGTAACTGAGGCACCTCCTTTTATTCCCTGGGCCTTCACAAATGCAGAATGAAAGGCACAGAGCAGTGCTGCACCCCAAGACAGGGCACCTCTATGCTTCCCCCAGGGTGATTTATGCACTCCCTACCTCCTCCCTCAACTGGGGCTTTTCACAGAACTCAGTTGCAAGATGACCCAGAAAGAAATGTGCCAGAACCAAGCTCTCCACCTTGTACTACTGCAGTCGTTCACTTTCATTACAACAAATGAAGCTATGTGGGGGAAGAAGGGTAAAAGAAAAAAAAAAAATAAAAAAGGCTTCAAAACCCAAAAGGAGGTCCAGCCTTGCTGCAATAGGGTAATTTCACTTAAACTCCTGAACACTTCCTGCAGGGCTATCTTAATTGTAGCAGTACTGCCTCATCACTAGTCATTAAAACAAGTGTACTTGGAGAATTTTAGTTTTATTAGCATGCTTAAAAAGTGAGATGAAAATAAAGTAATCCCAGAGTAAAATTATGGCTAGAAGGACAGAGTCTTCCTATGACCTCCATTCCCTTTCTTAAGGGAAAGCCAACCACAGAGAAGTGATTTTGCAAGCCAATACACAACTCAAAACCAGCAGAACTGAACCTTCTATTGCCTAGCTGCCCATCTGAAAAAAACTTCCAAAGAATGAAGATTTACAGATTTCTAAAGACTGATTAAGGTGTGAGTTTGCCATTATTAAAAGTCATATTTGTCCTCTTTGAATTCAACCAAATTTATGCAAACTGTACTTGAAACATGTCACAAACTAAGAAAAAGTAACCACCCACTAAAGAGCTTATGTATTCTGTAAACTACTCACTAAGTCGCCATATGCTTTAACTCTAAAGTTTATACATTCACTGATACTATCTTTAGAGCTACACAGGGAATTCAGTCAACATACATCTTTACTAAGCATGACAGAAGAACAAATGCAACCTTTTATTTACACACAAATTACCTGGCTTGTGAATAAATTGTGCCATGCAGTTGAGATACAGGTGAGCTATCATCATACCTCCAGTAACAGCTTAAATGGGCAAAAGGCTGTCTGCATGCTTGTCTAAATACTATCCCTCATATCCATTATATAGTAGCCACTAATACAGAGACAAACACTTACTAATAAGGCTCCCACAAGCATTTCTCCCGCAAGCCTAGAAAAGTTAATCAAGACTAATGTTTCCTCCTACCTTTTTCAAGTGATGGTTATATTTCCTTTCCAATTTTGTAGTCTTTCAGTTCTTTTAAGGCACATAGGAAACTTACTTTGTTCTACACACTGTGGATTTGTCCAATTAAAGAAATTGTTAGATTAGTCATCCCAGCCAGCTGGATGCCATTGGCTGCTGAATCACTGTGTCAGCTAAATGATTCATGCATTGCCAATAGGAGCATCTACCCTTCTCATTCAACATTTACATAGCCTGTTCTACAACTAAAGGTGCCAAACTTATCAAAAGAGCTGTAGTTACACATAATTTACTAGCTCAGCCTGATGATAACTGATCAGCAGAAGCTTCAGACCATTCATTGAGCAAGCTACCAAGGCTGCTAGTACCTGTTCAGAAAACCAATTCCTCCAGCCAACGGACCAGCTGAAACACACAAGCTGTATTTCAAGCTCTCCTCAATTTTTCTGCATCTATTCTTTAAAAATGATTCGTTAAGGAAAAGAAAAATCCTTGAATCTTCATTGGTAATCTCAAGAGAGTACAGTAAAAAAAAAATTGAAAAAGGGAAATGTATAAAAAGGGAATGAAAAAGAAAACAAAGAGAAAATGAATGCCTGTGAAAAAGCAGAGGCAAACTCTTGATAGTCTTCCCAGTAAAGACATAAAATTTCAGTTTTTCAAGGGCTGTTTACCCATCAAAACCAGTAACAGATCCCACTTCATAAAACACTCACTAGAAATAAAGCAGAGATCTAAAACAATTCTAACATATTAATGAACAAAGAAGCCTGTCAATACAGATGTGGGTAACAATTCTGTGTATCTTAAATTTTAGGTAGTATAAAGTTGACATTGTTTAAAGAATCACAGTAAATAAATAGAATTAATATAGACTTCTCTAGCATGTCTACTGATCTCAGACAAGTCAAGATTAGCAGAATCAATAATACTCTTAAACAAGTTCCTTCAACCATATACTGTACTTTCATTCTTACTATCTGATCCTGTTGGCTTTGAAAAAAAATCTAAACATCTTTAGAAAAGGCTATCCATACTAAGAAATAATTCAGCTCTGAATCAGTACATTAATTGAAGCTGCTAGCACTATGCAAGTCACCATATCTGTACCTTTCCATGACTACCACTCATGCCTTTCCATGACTGCAGTTTCCATGACTTCAGGTGCAAACTCCTAACATTAAAACTGCAGGTTCTGAAGAGAATTATGAAGTTTATCTGAACTGCATCCTTACCTACTTCTCTCCCTCACAGACAGGTTAACTATTTCTAATGCAGTGCCACGTACTAATCATTGAATAGCTTTTTCCAAGGCAGGTAGGTGCTTCAACTATCTTGACCACGTACACTACACATCTTTCTTTGGCACCATTTTCACATTCACAATTCTCAACAAACATTACAGGCAGGCTAGTCCCTAGCTAAGTATTTCAAGACAGTATCAGACAATTTTGCTGCCCACAGAGCATGACACTTAAGATTCTGACTATGCTGTAATCCCAACTGTTGACACATCTCTGGGGCAGTTCCTTTCTTCTCTTCTGCTTAGTGTATTTACAGCTACACCACCCCAACAGAGAGATCAAAGATGATCTGAAAGGAGATACTAGAAGATAAGCTGCTTCTCTGTTAAAGAAAGTAATATACCATTTAAATGCACTTAAGAAAGGTAGCTTTAACCTTTGCACAAACACGCCTTCATCATTCAAAAGACAGAGGCCTTGTCAGCAACCGGTAGTGATTATACTATCTTCTTTTAATAAGTCCTTTAAGCAGATCTTTCAATTCTCCATTAAAAGTACCCCAAACAAACCAACCAGAAAACCAGTTTTATCTGCTTTACATCTTTATCTTTACTCAGAAGGTATGATAGGAGGAAAGGACAAGAAAGGTAAAGATTGTGAGGTATCGTTATCCATAACATTCTCAATAGTAATTACTTTCTCACATGGGATAGACTTCTTCAATTCCAAAACACCCAGGACACCACACATTTCAGCCTGTCCTCTTGAAGAAATATGCAGGAACTTAAAAAAACTGAGGTATCACAGAATATTAGGAGTTGGAAGGGACCTCGAAAGATCATGTAGTCCAAACCCCCCTGCCAGAGCAGGATCACCTAGACCAGGTCACACAGGAACGCATCCAGGCAGGTCTTGAATGTCTCCAGAGAAGGAAACTCAACAACCTCTCTGGGCAGCCTGTAAGCTATTTCAGTCTCTTCATTTTGTACTCACCCAGAAGACAATGTTGTAGCTGAAGAGCAGGTATTTGTACCAACAGCTGACTTCTGCATTAGAATATCGGTAATAGTGCATCTTCTGTAGCACAGTGTCTGCACAGAAGATAAAGAGAAGAATTAGGCAGTGAAACATTTTAAGAATAAAGGATTTTTTTCCAGATCTTTCTTGTTTTTTTGAGCTAGGGCTACAGTAACCTGTACCGTATACCATTCAGAGGTACATTCAAAGTCAGCTCAGAAACTTCTGGTGACCCTAAATTCCCTCTAAGTATTTGTTGCTTAATAATCCCATCCTCTTTAAGCACTCTAATGTGGTAACAGGGAGGGACACCCAAAAAGGAAACTAGCTATAGTTAGCCTAGGAAGATCTGCATCAGCAAGTTGATGTTCATCCGCTTTCTCACTCCTTCAAAATCATTTCACTTAAGACAGCTGCTTGGTCTTACACAAAAGTCTAAACACATATCTTGTAGACTGCACATCCAACAACACAGCTAGCAAAATGTCAGAAATGGTAACCCAGAAAACCTCAGTGTCTACAGATTGTCAAACACAACAGGCAGTTGCAGTCTGTCTTTTCCATACTTTAATGTTTCTTTACCAAACCAGAACCCCATAAGAAGTTTAATTCTCAAGAACAAAAGCCCTACCACTAAACAGTTGATCTGTTCTGCAGAGTTCTGTTTTCTTGCTTCCTTACACACACTAGAGATAAGGTTTAACTGCAACTGTTGATCAAATATTTCAGAGAACTACAGTTTTTCAGCATGTCATAACTAAACCACCTCTGCAGAAATGCCACGCATAGGAAAAAAAAAAAAAAGAAGACAAGCTGTTAAATTGAGAGCTGGAAAGGGAAAAACAAAGCACTTGCACAGCCCTCACATTCTAAAGAGCAGATCGCATGAGTGCTGCCTATGACAGACAAGAAGCAGTTCCACATTTCAACCCTCCATTCACTTGTAGTAAATGTTTTCCTCCCATAAGACATCAGTGAAAGGCTTGCAACAGGGAAGCAAGCATAGAAAATTTTCAAACACCTCATAACTGAAGAAAAGACTTAAAGGACTATGCTGACCTGGACATTCACAGTCAGCATGGAAAAACCAAGCCTACCTAACAAAGTCTGAAACCAAGCACCATGGAACAAAGAACTGAAGATCTCCACCACATCCACAGTGATGAAAAGGGAAACTAGGGCTTTTTAGAAGGCAGTCTGCACCTGGGTGTAAAAAACAATCCTCCTGAAAGAAGGAACAGAATCAGATACATGTCAGCATTGAGAATCCTACTCCTTACAATAAACAGCTTGTTTTAGCTTTTAAGCAAAATGCCAATTATTTTCCAGGAAAACGATGAAGTACTACCATCAGTGCCTTATTTGAGGCGCTTATTTTTTGAAATTTCAACGCAAATATTTCAAACCTTGCCTTAAATGTTACTACCCTAAAGCTAAACACACACACACACAAGAAAAAAAAAAAAAACAAAACAGTCCAAGGACACAAAACAGACATCTTCAGCCCAAAGACAGAGATCCCAAACAGACTTTGATTTTCCTTCCAGAGGTCTCTCCATGCCAGGCTTGGCTTCCACCTGGAAGCAGATGGAGAACAAGTCCGTCCTTGGTTCAGTCATATCAGCCCCCATCCCTCTTCAACCTCAGCCAGGAAGTTTCTTTGCTGCTCAACCAAACAGAAATGTTTTTTGGAAACAGACAGACCATGTAGAAAATATAAGGAGGATACATTTTAGTAGAATACTCCATAGCTTTAAGTAGTTATGGAAAAAAATAACTGGAAGATCATGTAACCTGGCATATCGAAGTTAGACTGCAAGACCTGTGGACACAGAATAATTTCTGCTTTTTTCAAGCTCAGATAGCCTGTATGAGCATAAGAGTAATTTTCAGATCCTGCTGTAAGTTGGTAGGTATTACACAAGTTATACTGATCCACTTGACATGAAGTAGATTAATTTATGTATAATAAAGCCAGACATCACCTAAGTACTCTTCATATCTATGATACCTAAGCAGGTTGCTTAAGACACATTACCCACAGGTGACTCCAGTGCATCTGGACTGACAAGCAGCAACAGAAAACTCATCAAAAGAAGGACTTACTCCTCCCGATTCCATACAACACGGTGTAAAAATCACGTATGAGACAAAGTAAAACTGAATTAAGTCAAAACTAAACCACTTTTTCCTCAATAGCCCCAGTAAAAGAACAGAACGCAAACTACTTGGCTGGTTTCAGAAAAATTACAGAGTCTGAAGGAAGATTAAAGGATATACTGCACATTCTTACAGAAACAATACCTGCAAAATTTGTCAGGCTAGAAAGTGTGAACATTCACCATTAACACCCGAGGTTGGTATTTCCACAGTTCAGACATTGATTTCCATGCAGTTTTAATCAAATACTGAAACCAAGGGGTTTTGCCTTCTAGAACCTTAGTTCATAATTAGTTCTAATGATTACAGTTAATTTATAGCAAAAACACACTTAACCTTTGTTAAAACAAAGAAAATAGTACTTTATGGCAGTACAGGCAGTGACTGGAAAGGACTTTCCTAGATGCAAGCCAGTCATACATGTAAGCTGCATTTTGCAAGAAACATTCCTAGAAAGCAGACAGTTCTGTTTCCTTATGGCCTGGTTCAGCTTTACTTACTGACCTTTTCAACCCATCCAGCCTCACAGACAACATTTAGGAATCCTACTATTATGACACATAGTAAAGAAGACTTGTTTAAACGTTACTCTCCTGACATGCTTTTCTAAGTTTGCAGCTGAGAAAATATAAAAGGAGGAATGAACATCTGTTTTTCCCAGCTTCATTCCAGTCTCTAGCTCCAAACAGTAATTTATATTTCGACAATCAGTAGTCATACACTTGTCCAAGGCACACCAAGGCCTTCATCACTGTTCTGCATCCCTCCCCATGAAAATCACGCTTCTAGAAAGAAGACAGGAGCAGTAACTGAAAAATGCCCATACTACTAATTAGAAACATGGCTTTTCTCCTGCTAGCACTGCAGAAGAGGAAGCAGCAGGTGGCATTTAGCTAGCACATCATTAAATTTCATAAAAACAGGGATTTACTAGACAAAGAGGCTTAAAATATAATCTGAGGCAGAAAGGCAAGCATACCATTTCAGGACCTAAAATACAAACATAATCTGGAGTCTTACTGGCACTCCCTGGCATTAGGGCTTACTTCCAACTGTTGAAGATCCAACTTCAGTGCAACTATTCACAGGAATAAGAGCATGAGAAGTACCCTTACAGATAAGCACCACTCCCCACCTACCTTATCGTTTTGACCATGAGCTTGTAAAACGTTTCTCCCCACTTCCCCATGCAACTGGCAAGATGCCCCAGTCAACACCAATCATGGTATTTTCACAGAATGAGAAAGCAAAATGCCTTTTTTTTTATTACACCATTTTTATTTCTTTAGTGGTCTGAAGTGACAGGGGGGCTAGTACTACCAGTACTGGTTTGTTGTTGGAAGAAGCTGTCCTATAAAGGCACACGGGTCACAGACAGATGTTACCTTCTGAAGTATCTGGCTAGATTAAAAGCAATTTGACTTGCTGTCTTTGCTTATCCTCATCAGGAGTTCTTTGGTACTTCCTGACTGACCACCAAACACCGTATGGAACGGTATAATCACTACTGGTGTGGGAGTGACACACTGACATAGTAGATCTTAAGTGTAGGTGTGTCTGACTTTCTCCTAACCCTACAACTAAACAGACCAAGCAATCCACTCAAGGCCACACAGCCACCTTCCCCATATTTACACTAAAGCAGTCATATTTCCAAAAGTAGGAGGCATCTGTTACCTGTCTAGAAATTTGCTAGATCAGTATTTCATTTAATTTACATCACAGGCTGCATAACTACGGTTAGGCAATACAACAAAACACTTGAAAGATTAAAGTAGTATGTGGGCAGCATAGATTAACTTTCTCTACTGTGTTTCAGACAAAGCAAGTCACATTTTGTCAGCTGACAGTTATCACCCACTCATGACAACAGGAATTTCTAAAAGTTAAATATGGATCACTGCTGCTTTGGTAGAGTATATAATTTTGTCTTGGTGCTTGCAGCCTTAGTGAGGGGAGAAAAATGTAGCCATTCAGCAAGAGGCTAATGCCATTTCCAAAGCATTTCCACACTCACAGATTCCACTTTTATCTTCAAAATGTTAAGCGATATTCATAGCCTATACATTTTGACTCACATAAACCAGAAGCTCTGATATATTAAATAACCTAATTTAGATATGCAGGGAAATCCTCACAGATACGATGTTAAATCTAGAATGAAAACAACTGGAACACTAATGCACATCGCTAGATCTAGGTCCACAAAACAAAACAAAACATTATTTTGTAGGCTGTTGGCTGCTCCTCCCATCATTCATCAATACAAGCTCCCATCATTCATCAATACAAAGCATCAAGTCTATAGGAAGCTGGTGAAGCAAATCAGCAAAGTCAAAGAAGAATATACTGAGGAACAAGAATAATTTTTAAAACACAGCAAGAGATGCACTTTGACCTAATACTTGTTTTGATATGATTACTTCATTCCATTACTTCATCAACACCAAATCTGTATCAAAAAGCATCAGTTCACTCATTCAAGATATGGTGCCATTAAACATCATTGTCATATTCTTTGCATGTGCTCAATCAATAGGGTTGAAGTTGAAAGACTTATCCCTGACCAGGGATAGTTCAGAGATTTTCTTAGGACGGCCCAAAACCAGAACAATTACGAGGCACCTACAAACTGCTCTTTACACATCCTAGAGAGAAGCTGACCACCAAGGGAGTCAATGTTCAGTACAGTTATCTGGGTGCTGGACATTACATGTTCATGTGTAAGGACTGAGCTGGTGCAACATAAAGGCAAGAAGCATTGACAGATCTGGAGCTCTTACAGGCTAATTTGTTCCTGGAAACAGAGATAGTAGCCCTGCCAGTGATTCATGAACTCCCTGTAAGCACGTGTCATCTTTATTTCTGGAATTTTGTCTCCAGGGAACTCTGACTGG